ATGAGGATGGGGAAGAGGGTGTTGTGATGAGGAGGGGAAGAAGATGGGGAAGAAGATGGTGATGAGGATGGGGAAGAGGGTGTTGTGATGAGGAGTTTATCGTCGTTTATACGATCATGAGGGTGGAGAAGGTGATGGTGATGAGGATGGGGGATGAAGCTGATGACGAGGATGGGGGAAGAATGTGGCCATGAGGTTGGGGGAAGAAGATGGCGATGATGATGGGAAAGATGATGATGAGGATGGGGAAGAATATGGTGATGAGAGGATGGGGAAGAAGATGGTGATGAGGATGGAAAAGAAGGCGATGAGGATGGGGAAGAAGATGGTGACGAGGATGGGAAAGAAGGCGATGAGGATGGGGGAAGAATGTGGCGATGAGGTTGGGGGAAGAAGATGGGGATGAGGATGGGAAAGAAGATGGTGATGAGGATGGGGAAGAAGATGGTACCGAAGATGGCGATGAGGATGGACGTATTGAGTTCCTGGTGACGAGGATTATCATGGTAGCGATGATGACGGACAAGATGGAGATATACATGACGATCGTGGCGTGAGGATGGCAAGAAATGTTGATGGTGAGGGGGTTATGATGATGATCAAGGATGATTAATACTAGTAATTGATGATGATTATCATCATGGTGGTGGTGGTGGCTATTCAATCGGCCATGGTGAGATCTCTTTTGTTGCACAAGAAGAAGAGGAAGTAATGATCGTTCTGCGCAATGATGGCGTTTTCCTCCTCCAAAAAAAGAAGCATACATACGAAGCGTGAGTGCCCCTCTGCAATCTTTTCAGTTACAAAAATAATAGACATCGAGTTATCAAAATCAGGATGTCGTCCAGTCTACCGTCTTCCCCCGAACACAACGCACCCTCTTAATGAATGTATCAAAGGTACATTTCCGTTCAGATACAGCCAAAAAAAGTGTACGTTGTGTTCCGGGGAAGACGGTAGTACCTACGAAGCTGGCCGTGTTCATGCGGCGCGATAATCATGCTGGGGAAGGGCGACCGAAACTCGCCAGCTACCGTCTTCCCCCGAACACAACGCACCCTCTTAATGAATGTATCAAAGGTACATTTCCGTTCAGATACAGCCAAAAAAAGTGTACGTTGTGTTCCGGGGAAGACGGTAGTACCTACGAAGCTGGCCGTGTTCATGCGGCGCGATAATCATGCTGGGGAAGGGCGACCGAAACTCGCCAGCTACCGTCTTCCCCCGAACACAACGCACACGCATTATGACTGGATCTAACCGGAAAGATGGCCTGTATACATTCAGAATCAGGGTGCGTTATGTTGGGGGAAGACGGTAGTCAGCCGTCTTCACTCGAATAGAACGCCCGGTCATTATTACAGTTGTATCTGGACTGAAAGTTGAACGAAATACAGTTATAATGACCGGGCGTTCTATTCGTGTGCAAACGGTAGTTTCGCCCGTAATGAATCTCGACGAACCGGGGGGGAGGAGTTCCCCGTTCTCTTCGTCCACAGGGCGGCCGCATGCTCTCTCGCTGCTTATCGAGTTTGCCTGGCTCGATGGCCATTTGTCAAGGTCCAGCGATTTTGCCTATTTTCGGTATTTTCTGGAGTATGGGCTTCGCTCCACAACTCTCGACATGCACAGAAGACAAAAATCATGGTGGCGGTGTATCTTTCCATGTTCTAGAGGAAGATTCACTCTCGTTTTGCACATTTCGAAAGTAGTGGAGCGAGGCCCTATGGCTTGCACGCCACCGAGTGTACTTCCTTGAGGGAATCTGAACACGGAGTATGTGTGGGCAACGGGCTGCGCACTACCATCTTTCTCCGCTCCGAACATAACGCAGCCTGAAAATGAACGTATACAAGGCATGTTTTCGGCCCGATACAGACAAAATGAGGGTTCGTTGTGTTCGGGGGAAGACGGAAGCGGCTCCTGAGGGATGGGAAAAAGAGAGCATGTGATGCATGGTTGTACTCATTTGATAGATGTGTTTGGTTTTGTGATATGCCCCTGGGGGTCCATGGTCTGGTTGTGTGTTTTGCTTGGCAATACCAGCGAGTGCCCAGGTGATTGATGGTCCTGTCATGCGTGGAGAATTGGCTACGTGGTCATATGCGTTTCGTGATGAGAATGTTTTCGTCGTTCAGCTGGTGTGGCAGGCGCTGGCTGTACGGACCTTTGACTGTACGGTAGCAAGTTTGAGTACGTGGCCGTCGTCCCATCTTGACTGTACGGTAGCAAGTTTGAGTACGTGGCCGTCGTCCCATCATGAATTGAGAATAGGGGTGAGATCCCACTGGCAAAAGCGATTGGAATAAGTGTCGGAATCTGGACGTGTTTGTGAAGAGGTGCAAAAAACTGTAATCCATCTGCTTTTCTGCATCTCTGCGTGGAACACGTCCTAATTCAGGCACTTAGTCCAATCCTATTTACCAATGGGATCTGACCCTAAGTTGCATGATGACACATCCTGCGGTTGAGGATGACCTCTACATGAGAGCTTTGGCTATTTGCCTAACTCATTCAGGATTTCGTGTGAGTGTGACCGTTCAACATCCGCAGTGAAGTAGTTTTTTTTTTGTTTTTTTTTTTGAAGGGCTGCGGGTGGCAGGGTCAGATTTTGCCAACCCTTGAAAAAAAAATAAAAAAGAATCATTCAGGGTTTCAGGGTAACTGGCGTAGCGAGCCTGCACTTAACTGCATGGCACACACAGTTAGTCTTTGGAAGAGGGGACGTGCAGTGCAGCTGGTGTTTACTCAAAAGCCCAAAGGACGAGTGGCTTGCCGACGTCGTTTGGGCATTTCCTCTACTGAAAATTGCACCGAATGCGCCTATAATGACCGGGCGTTCCATTCGGTTGAAGACGGGTAGTTCAAAGATATGCCAGAATATCGCATGCCGGAAGCTGTGAATTGGACATCCCTCTCTGTCCTCGTTTCCTCGTGTACGTTCCACCCCCCCTCCTCCCCCTCCCTTGTCATGCAACATTTCCAATTCCAATTGCGATCTAGCGGATATGCACACAGGAAGACAGCACAGCCGGTCAAACGCTGAAAGCTGCATATCAGTCAGTACCTTTGAATTCCTGCTTGTGCTTTCTCTGTGTTCCACTCGTCTTCTCATCCGGCAGTTCTTTGTTCCTTCCCACCCCAGAATCTAACTGTCGATTTTCATGTCAACGATTCTCTAGTCCAACGGCGTTGACTCTATTGTTACAATGATTTATGGAAGGATTTTTTTTTTCTTTTCTTTTTCTTTTGAAAATGAAGCATTTCTGAAGTGAAATCTGAAGAATGAGGGAGGTTCTTTCTTCGAAGTTCGAACTCATCCAAAAAATTTGTTCAGCTTTGAGTTGACATGGAACCTTCAGAGTGGGTGGGGTGGGACCGGGCAAGGGTTTGCTCCTTTCCTTGAGGAGGAATGGGAACCTTCAGACTGTGTATGATGGGCGGCTTGGG